CAGGGTACCTCCAAACTACCTGGATGCTACCCGATGTGATCACCGTATGCTGTAAGATGACAGTGAGATAAGTAGACATGACCGAGTTCCTGCGTAGCTTGAAATCAGTATCACCATCATCGTCACATGCGTTAGGAACGACAAGTATAACAGAGGAAACGTTCATTTGTCATATACAGAGCCTCCACCATCCCACTTCCATGAGCTGAAAAAGAGCCGTATATGTACCGCTAACAGGAGCACAGGGAATCACAAGAGGTATTCGTCGACCAAGGTAGGCGTGCGTTGCCAGGCTGATGTCAATGCAGAAAAACGAACAAATCTTCCATATTGAGACACAGCTGATGGCGAGGACGCATCTTCTATTATACATCTATTCTCAAAGACCAATCAGCACTTTTTTGGCCCCTCAGAACATTGGAATAGACAGTACCCACTCTTCCAGCCTTCAACTCGTTTATGCCGCGAAGCTCTTGGTGAAGCTCTGTGCAACCTCCCTCAGCTTGGACTCGAGGTCCTTGCTGAGCGCACCTTCCCGGTCGATCTGGTTGAGCATGTCCTGCTCGTTTGATCGGAGGTGGGCAAGGAAGTCAGCCTCCCACTGAAGAATCTTGCTGACGGGTACGGAGTCGAGGAGACCGTTGATACCAGCGTAGATCAAAGGAACCATCTCGTTGACGGCCATGGGAGAGTACTGCTTCTGCTTGAGGAGCTCGGTGAGACGCTCACCACGGCTAGAAAGAAGTCAGTATATGTTTCATGTGCATGTTGGGGACGGCGGACCTTAAAGTTTGCTTCGTCGCAGCATCGAGATCGGAACCGAATTGAGCGAAGGCAGCAACCTCACGGTACTGGGCCAAGAAGAGCTTGAGGGAACCGGCGACCTGCTTCATGGCCTTGACCTGGGCAGCGGAACCGACACGGGAGACAGAGAGACCGACGTTAATGGCGGGACGGATACCCTTGTAGAAGAGCTCGGCCTCCAAGAAGATCTGGCCATCAGTGATGGAAATGACGTTGGTGGGAATGTAAGCGGACACATCACCACCCTGGGTCTCAATGACGGGCAGAGCGGTGAGCGAACCACCACCAAGCTTGTCGTTCATCTTGGCGGCACGCTCAAGGAGACGAGAGTGGAGGTAGAAAACGTCACCGGGGTAAGCCTCACGACCCTAAAAATGAGTGTACGAAGTCAGTATTTGTCTCACATACAGTTCGTGGATATTACTGACAGGAGGACGGCGGAGAAGCAGAGACATTTGACGGTAGGCAACGGCCTGCTTGGTCAAGTCATCGTAGATGATCAAGGCGTGCTTGCCATTGTCACGGAACCATTCACCCATGGCTGTTCAAAATTGTTAGCGAATACATCCTGGCTACACTATCGAATGTGCGAATGAGCTTACAGCAACCAGCGAAGGGAGCAATGTATTGCAGAGGGGCGGCCTCAGAGGCGGTGGCGGCAACGATGATGGTGTACTTCATGGCGTCGTTCTCCTCGAGGGTCTTGACGAGCTGGGCAACGGTGGATCGCTTTTGACCGACGGCAACGTAGATACAGTAGAGCTTCTTCTTCTCGTCGGTGCCCTTGTTCCATCGCTGTCTAATCTTCATGTCAGCTTGTGTTGCTTGTAGGTCGTAAGGAAGTTTGCGTACTGGTTAAGCATGGCGTCGAGGGCAACGGCGGTCTTTCCGGTTTGACGGTCACCAATGATCAACTCACGCTGACCACGTCCAATGGGAACCATGGCGTCGACGGACTTGAGACCAGTCTGGACGGGCTCCTTGACGGACTGGCGGGGCAGAATACCGGGGGCCTTGAGCTGAGCACGGCGGCGCTCAGTGGTCTTGAGGGGACCCTTTCCGTCGATGGGGTTACCGAGAGCGTCAACGACACGTCCGAGAAGAGCCTCGCCGACGGGAACGTCGACAATCTCTCCGGTACGCTTGACGGTCTCGCCCTCCTTGACCAAACGGTCAGAACCGAAGAGCACAACACCGACCTGGCCGGCTTCCAAGTTCATGCACATGCCCTTGACACCGGAGGCGAACCTGTCACCCCGTTAGCTTCCATGGCAAATTGTCGTAGTGTGCAGGTGGCGTACTCGACAAGCTCCTCAGCCTGGACGTTGTTCATGCCGTGGACACGGGCGATACCGTCACCGACGGACAGGACACGTCCAGTCTCGGAGAGGCTGTTCTCCTCCTGGACACCGCGGATCCTCTGCTCCAGGATGGAGGAAACCTCGGTGGGGGTGGCCTTCGCATCGGCGGCGTAGGATCGGATGGCGTTGGTGAACGCGGGAGCGCGGGTCTGTGGGCGGGCAAAAGGCGTCAGTGGTGGACTTGGGTAGAGGGGAGCTGGTCCCGCCGCCGCGCAGCCCGGGCAGTTCCATCAACGAAGCTCCATTGCGGCGCCAATGGCATCGGATATCGGTTCTGGAGGCTGCTGGCGATGGCTGGACGGGCGGCAGGCGCAATTGCAGGCGGTTGCGATGGACTTACCGACGCAATCCTGCTCGTGGCAGAGATTGCAGCGACCCGGCGGCTCGACTGGCGGATGGCCCTTGAGAACATGGCTGCAGCTGCTCAAGAGTCTAATTCGGAGGCTCTGCAACCAATTGAGATTGATGCAGGTATGGAAGAGGGGAGATGGTGATGGAGTGGAGGATGGGGAGCTCTGCTGTGAGGAAGAAAGTCCTGCGGTTCGGGAGGAAAGCGCGGACCTTGGCGTCTACCCTAATCCTAAAAAAGCCGCATCTCAACCGAGCTCTCTCACTGCAACACCACGTTGGCACTCGACGAGCTATGATTTGACTGGAGATTTTGAATGAAATACTGGAAAACGAAATAGAGCACTCAGCTGCTACCCATGATCGCGTTGAACTCTTCGCTCGACATCCCGATCCGATACACGATCCTCGTCTACATGGTCAGTACCCCACACTTTGATAAAGATAAAGTAAATGTCTGTGGATACCTTCGGACTGCGTTTCGGTGTACGGTACAATTGATATCACGGCCTTCCTTACAATCTCATACTGTCGGGATCAGATAATTAGCATCGACGAGGAGCATGCATTGTACGGATGGCGTATTTGCCTCAATGGCCCTTCCAATACATCAGTACTTGTAACACATACAAGGGCGCATTCCAACACAAGTCGACGGACAGTCCTCCATGTTGCAATCTACATACATGAATAGCGAGGAAGATCACAATAGCTCCGCCGTATCGTAGGTCTCAAAGCTGTTGATACCTTGCTGTCCTGTTGTAGTAGGCAAAAAAGCTACGCTAATGTGTCGAGTATTCTTCCAGCACGGGTTACGCAAGAGATCACGGTCAAAATAGCATGGCTTCCAAATACAAAATAGCAACATTCTAAATTGGTATCCTACTATGTTATGTGAATCTCTAAAAACTCGCAGCCACTTATGCAAACTTGACTACCAAAGACAACGTATACCTCAAGACGCCGCGTACACCTTGCTCCTGCGCAATGCTCCTTCTCCTGCAGTATTCATACACCATTTGCACTGTCTGCTGGTCCTCCAATGTCTCCTTCGATTAACCTGCAAGTGCCGATAACTGGGTCCTTGTCTGCTCATGCGCTGTACATCCGTTGTCGAGTTGCGTCTCATTTCGCGGAGCCATTTTGACCCTTCTCCTTGCTCTTCCTAAACTTCTGAATCTCCAACTCAACAGCCTGGTCTATCCGGCGCTTGAGTTCGGGGCGGTAGCCGAGCATGAAGAGTATCTCGAACCAGACGAAGAACGGAGCCAGGAAGATGGCCTGCACAAGGTTGTCCAGAAGCGCTGGTGCTCTTCCTTCGAACTTTCCGTGTCCGACGAACTGGGCGATCCAGCATGCGATGTTGATTGCGCCGGCCCACGAGTTGGCAGTCGCACCGTACGTTGAAGTGAGGTGGTTCGCATACGCGGTGCTGCCGATAAGGATCGGGGCAATCATGGCACCTGCGACAGGTTCCATGAGGATGTACAAGGTCGAGTACAGAACGGCTCCGGCGGTGCCGACGTTGAGCGGGAGATTAGGTACCGAGAGCCATGACGGTATAGGGACGGCAGGCGTGTTGGTGAGCTACTATCATGTTAGAGGGGCCGCGATGAGAGCAGTCGGAGTCCTCACCAATAGGAAAGACGTCAACAGGATCGGAGGTACACAGAGCAGATGTATTCCGACGTTGACCTGACACATGGCATGTTAGCTGACATGTGAAGATGCCCTCTGACGGCGGAGCCTACTTTATTATGGTGGTATGCTCCGTACTAGATTCCAGTCAGCCAAGTACAGACATCTGTTGAAAAATGACGTACGAAGACGAGTTGTTTCTCTAGATTGAGAGACATGGTGCCGGATGGGGAACTGGGGCGCGTGTCAAAGAGTGGGATGGACGTCAAGGGACTAAATCATGTCTTGGAAGCGCAGGGTGAAGGGTCGAGCTCGTGGAGTGTGGAAGGACCAAGGCACCGGCGGCGGGAGCCGAGAGATGATGGCGCAGGGTGAATGGGTATCACGACATGGGTGTGTGGGGGTGCGCAAGCTGGCAGGTGGGAGTTGGGTCGCTGCTCGGGCCTTAGCGAGTGATTTTCCGCGCCGAGAGCCCTGCAGCCCTTGGAGCTCACCTTTCCTGTCGCGACCATTGCCCTGCTACAAGACACTCACTCCGCCCACATCTGCGACCACTGTACCCTCGGACTTGCACGGGCGCCGCGATCACACTGCAACTTGGGTGCATGGGCTGTTGCATATAAGAATCAGGGCTGCGTTGGAGGCCGAAGGCGCGTCTCGCTGAAGCACGCGCGCTGCCTACCGTACACTGTCGACTCTTGACTGGGCCGCTCAGCATAAAGACAATAAAGTCGCATAATAGCAAGGACGACGGTCCTGTCTCTACCTTGTTTCGATCTTCACCGTTGAACCGTGCAACTCATCCACACCGCGCATCTCCTCTACCGTATCCGCCGTACAACGCGCAACATGTTCTTCCTCAAAGAGCTTGAGAAGACGATCCAGCTGCATCCCTCATACTTTGGCCCGCTCATCCGTCAGCACATCCACCGCGAGCTGCTACAAAAAGAGGAGGGATCGAGCACGGGAAAGTACACCATCGTGTGCATTCTGGACTCGTTCGACATCTCCGATGGCAAGGTGATGCCTGGCTCTGGCTCTGCGGAGTACGTTGTCCACTACAAGGCGGTCGTATGGCGGCCATATAAGGGCGAGGTGGTATGTGGAAGCGTCCGACGTGATCATCGAGTCCATTGCTAATAATGTCAAGATGGACGGCATTGTCACCTCCGTGCTCCGCACCGGATTCTTCGTCGACTGTGGATCTTTGCAGGCCTTTGTGGGACGCAGTGTACATATCACCCTAATTCATGCCTCCATCCACCACTAACAGCGACAGATGATACCCGCTGAAATCAAGTTCGACGCGAACGCTACACCCCCGCAGTGGACCGACGACGGAGAGCAGGTCATCGAGAAGGGCACCAACATCCGCATAAAGATCAAGGGTCTGAGATCAGAGGTGGACAAGATGTATGCGGTCGGCACCATGAAGGAGGTAAGAAAGATGAACGTCGGCCTTGGCGACCATCGGCTAAGCAAAACTTCTAGGATTATCTTGGCCCATTGCCCTCATAGTAGGACGAATCGACGGCCATTGACAGTATGCGCCATTGTGGAGGGCCAGTGCGTGAGCAGTCTGCTCAAACAGGCATCTTCACTACAGAACAGATGTTATTGTTCGGCGGGACCATCTGGCAATTCATGCACGAATCAACACCGTCGTAGAAACACGAAGCGAAATATCGAATTCTTGGCTGTATCAGTACTCGTAGGGAGCAAGGCAATTGCTCAGTTGGTTCAAGGGTTTGCAGAACCAGAGCAGATGTGGCTGTATTGAAGACCACAGCGGAAGGAAATCATACCATCTAGATTTGGCACAGTTTGTAGCGCCATGCATTCCAATAAATTCCCAGAGCAGGCTTGAATAGGAACGCGTCGCACAATCTCATTGTAATGCAAGTCTTGGTGCAGCGCGGGCGGCCCCTTGCGTCGAAGAGTGGCTTGGGGCGTTTCGGCCAACACCAGCTCCCGCACCTCCGCGTGAACTCCGCAACTCCGCCCAGCTGGACACTGTTCATAACCCGCACCCGCGCCTTGCCACTATACCCATTTCTTGAGGCTGGTCTCATCTGATCCTGCGTCGCCTTCTACTACCATGTTATAATTGCTTGCATTCTTGTTCATACTTGATCATTGCCATGCCGCGACAGCGCGCCGCGAAGGAGGAGGAGACGGAGCTGCTAGCCAAGGAAGAGAGATCCGCGCGCACTTCAGAAGACGGCTCCGAAACATCCATATCCTCAATTTCCACAACGTCGCTCGTCCTCGAACACATCAACGACCCGTCCCTCAATCGTGCGTCGCAAGCGAAGCGTGGGGAGAAGTACACGGACGACGATGACGACGCAAGCCTGGCGCGCGAGCCGTTCGACGTCGAGGATGGGCGGTACAAGGCCCCCATTGCTGTAGACAAAAAGACAAGGAGGTGGCTATGGATCGTGGGCACGGCCTGTGTAGCTGGATGGGCGCTTGCGCTCGTCTTCTTCTTGATGAACGGCAGCTACAAGCATGCTTCGTCCAGGCCACACGACCCTCTTGCCAGTTCGACCAAGGGCTCGGGGAGGAAGATTACGTTGGATGACGTCTTCGGAGGCCGCTTCTACGCCCAACAGCAAAGCGTCGCATGGATACCGGGACCAAAGGGCGAGGATGGCCTGTTGCTTGAGAAGGGCTCGAGCAACGAGGAATACCTGGTCGTTGAGGACATAAGGTCCAAGGGCGAGGCAACGTCTTCTGCGAGCAAGACCACGCTGATGAAGAAGAACACATTTGAGGTGGATGGCACATACGTCTATCCCAGTGATGTTCAGCCAAGTAAAGATTTCAAGAAGGTGCTTGTCACGTCGGATTACCAAAAGAACTGGCGACATTCCGGTACTGCGAAGTACTGGATTTTTGATGTTGAGACACAGACTGGCGAAGCTTTGGATCCGGACCAGCCAAACGGCGCAATCCAGCTAGCCTCGATATCTCCGCAGTCGGATGCGGTCGTGTTCACGAGAGACAACAACATGTTCCTGCGCAAGCTGAACTCCAAGGAGGTTATACAGATGACAAAAGATGGTGGCTCTGAGCTCTTCTATGGTGTACCTGACTGGGTGTACGAGGAGGAGGTCTTCCAAGGAAATAGTGCGACATGGTGGTCTGAGGATGGCAAGTACATCGCTTTCCTGCGTACCGACGAGTCCACCGTCCCGACATATCCGGTCCAGTATTTCGTGTCACGGCCTAGCGGAGAGAAGCCCAAGGCTGGCGAAGAGAACTACCCCGAAGTTCGCGACATCAAGTACCCCAAGGCAGGCGCCCCCAACCCCATCGTCTCACTGCAGTTCTACGACGTCGAAAAGGGCGAAGTCTTCAGTGTCGAGATAGAAGACGACTTCAGTGACGAGAACCGTCTGATCACCGAGATCGTCTGGGCCGGAAAGACGAAGCAAGTACTTGTTCGCGAAACCAATCGCGAGAGCGACATCCTGAAGCTTGTCCTCATGGACGTCGAAAAGCGCACCGGCAAGACGGTTAGAACTGAGAACGTCGCTGAGCTGGACGGAGGCTGGATGGAGGTCTCACAGAAGACTACGTTCGTACCGGCTGATCCTGACAACGGCCGCAAGGATGATGGATACATTGATACAATCATTCACGAAGGCTACGACCATATCGGCTACTTTTCACCATTGGACAGTGACAAGCCTGTGTTGCTCACTCAGGGCGAGTGGGAAGTCGTTGATGCGCCTTCTCGCGTGGACCTGAAGAACAACCTGGTGTACTACGTTTCAACTGAGAAGAGCTCCATGGAACGACACGTCTACTCTGTACTCTTGAACGGTACTGGAAAGAGCGAAATGCTGGAGAATGGAGGCTCAGGCTACTACGACGCCTCCTTCTCAGCTGGTGGCTCTTACGCCTTGATCACCTACAACGGTCCCGGAATCCCATGGCAGAAGATCATCAGCACGCCATCGAACGATGACAAGTACGAGAAGGTCATTGAGGAAAACAAAGCGCTTGACCGCTTCGTACGCCGGCTTGAGATGCCCATTCTGAACTATCAGACGATCAACGTTGATGGCTTCGAGCTGAACGTCCTCGAGCGTCGTCCGCCGCACTTTAACCCGAAGAAGAAGTATCCTGTTCTTTTCTACCAGTACAGCGGACCAGGCTCGCAGGAAGTCAACAAAAAGTTCAAGGTTGATTTCCAGTCATACATTGCCGCCAGTCTCGGATACATTGTGGTGACAGTGGACGGGCGAGGTACGGGTTTCCTTGGTCGGAAGCTTCGATGCATCACGAGAGGCAACATTGGATACTACGAGGCGCACGATCAGATCGCCGCAGCCAAAATCTGGGCCAGCAAGAAGTACGTGGACGCTGATCGACTCGCGATCTGGGGCTGGAGTTACGGCGGTTTCAACACACTGAAGACGCTCGAGCAGGATGGAGGAGAGACGTTCAAGTATGGGATGGCTGTCGCTCCTGTGACTGATTGGCGGTACTATGGTAAGAAGACTCACGGTATTCGTCTGCTTCGCTAATGGTTTACCGCAGATTCCATCTACACGGAGCGCTACATGCACACGCCGCAGAACAACGCCGAAGGCTACGACAACTCCACCATCACCGATGTCACTTCCCTAGCGAAGAACGTCCGTTTCTTGGTCATGCACGGTGTCGCCGATGACAACGTGCACATGCAAAACACGCTTACCCTGCTTGACCGGCTGGATCTTGCAGGCATCGAGAACTACGATGTTCATGTGTTCCCCGATTCGGATCATAGTATTTACTTCCACAACGCGAATAGGATTGTCTACGACAGTAAGTGACTTCGTGTGCCATTGATACGAGGAGGTAGCTAACGGGATTCCAGAGCTTAAGTGGTGGCTCGTCAATGCTTTCAACGGCGAATGGTCGAGGATCACGAATGCGGTGCCCAAATCGCAACTTGATGCGAAGTCGATTGAGTCAAAGGCTCAGTATGTATAGTGTTTGACGCGTATAGAATGCGTAGGCGTTACAGGCGCACAATTTCAATATCGTTACCTTGCAACACCAATTTCATCAACTATCGTGAATGTCCAGACACCTTTGGGTTTCGCAGCTAATATGCATAATGCAGTGCTTGTGCGTGCTGATTCGCCGCTTTTGAGTACCAGAGTAAACCTGGGAATATGCTCAAGCAAGCCCCACACTTTGACGCGACTTTGCACCCACTTGACAATCGTGATATCGCGGTATGGTTATAAGAAGTCTCAATCGATGCATTTGCAGGCCCAAAAGTGGCTGTCATTGAGGAAGCTCTCATCAGCTGCTCTTTCCCCTCTCGAACCCCACTTTTGAAGCTACTACATCACACATCGCAAGCATGACGGCATCTTCGCCCATTCACTTGCCTTTTCCGCCTCGACTAAATCGTGGCTCAATACATAAACCTCAAATATCGACAGAATGAGTTTCGAGCCTAGTAACCTAGCCGTCTGCGAAACGTGCGGCACGCAATTCGACTTTCCGCTTGAGCAGCACCCGGAGACATGTCGGATCTGCGATGTATGTCTATCACAAACACCAAGAACCTGGAATTACCACAACCAGAATACGAGACACAGAAGCAGTAAAGCTAACCAATGTCTAGGACCCCCGCCAGTACGTCCCCGCATCAGGACAATCCTGGACCTCACTCTCAGCCTGCCAAGCCCTCCAAAAGAACACCTTCGAAACGGATAAAGAAGACCCTCGCATCCACTACATAACTACTGCGCCTCTATCTCCATCAGAACTTCCCCCCGGTCTGGCGGATTCTAGCACGACCCGCAAGCAACTTGGTATTGGTCAGAGAGCCATCTTATTACAGACATTGCGGGGAAACATCCTATGGGACTGCGTCGCTTTCTTGAACCCTGCTACCATCAACTTCATTAAAGAAAAGGGTGGGCTAAAGGCGATTGTGATTAGCCATCCGCATTTCTATACGACGCATTTGGAGTGGGCGAGTGTATTCAGGTGCCCGGTGTACATGTGCATAGCCGATAAGATGTGGTTGAACCGAGAGGATCAGAATGATGTGAGGAGGTTTGTCGGGGGCGTCGTTCCGATTGAAGAAATTGGGGGCGAGGCCAAGATGATTCAATGCGGTGGGCACTTCGAGGGCAGCTCGGTGTTGTGGTGGGATCGGAAGCTTTTCATCGCTGATACGTTTATGAGTGTACCTGTTAGTCCTATTCTCTTCTTTCTTTTACATTATTGGGGTTAATATGGCTAACAATCGTGATAGTCTGGGTTCAACAACGCGCACCGCGTGCCGGATACGACATCCTACTCGTTCATGTGGGCGTACCCTAATATGATACCACTAACGCCCAAGGCTATCCATGGGATTTGGAAGTCGATCAAGCCGTTCGAGTTCGACAGGACGTATGGAGGGTTCCCGGGACAGAACCTGAAGAGATCGGATCTGAAGAAGCAGGTATTGGAGAGCATGAAGATTTTCCTGCGGAGAAGTGGACATGAGAACGCAGATGTGTATGACGAGAGTGTGTGATACGGAAATTTACCTGCGATTGTGCGGACTCAAAAATTTTGTGATACGGAAATTTACTTGCGATTGTGCGGACTCAAAAAACTTGTGATATGGAAAATTACCTGAAATTGTATAGACTCAAAAAATTAAATTACATCATCTCCTTGATTGGTGGTATCTAACAAGTAAAAGACTATGGAGCAAGCACGCTAAATTCATCCAAAACTGCTCTCTGGTGCAACACCATATCCTACTTCGCTGATATTCACAACGATCGAGTATGTGCAGAGTCTTGAAGGTTCGTCGCGGTTGTCTTCGGACATGGTAGCGAGACAAGGGCTGACGATAGCTTGATGCTTTACTGAAGTGTGGACATCATGCTTCACTCTCACGGGGATGTTACAGATACAACCGTTCAATGGAGGGAGACTTGGTGTCGTTGATAGTGTATAATGGCATGGACTGGAAGGGTACAGGTACATTAGAAAGCCGCAGCACTCCACTAGGCTATTCAAACCCGTCACAAGCAGCGCGAATGGCGATACCTCTTCCTTTCTCGTAGGCTTGTTCACACTTCACCCATACCCTTTCTCTTGCTCTGTGCGAGTAGCGATAACGTGCCATGCTCCGATATGGCTGCCTTCAGTGTCGAGGTAGAGAGAATAGGCGTACAGGCGATGCGTCCCAGCGGTGATGTGCGAAGGTGTGCTCCTTCGAACCTAGTATGCGCATACGTTAGCCATCGCACATGGGACTATCATGTACAGTGAGCCGCTAATCACCTTGTCTGAACTCATGAAAGCTGTGGTACTTGTGGTTTCAGGATGCCATACCAGTGACCATTTTATTTCGCCGGAGCTAGACAACTTCAGGTTATGAAATTCGCCCAACAGATGATGAACCTACGGAGGGGTTTTGGTGGAGTAATCGGAACCTTGGTACGCGACATCGTATGTAGCGTGGTGACAAATTGTTTCATGATACTAAGTATGTGGAGGGTCTCGCAGTATTCGTCCAGTCGTTTGATATTGGGAGTAAAAGGGAAAGACCAAAGGTTCGGTCCAATGCCTATATATACAACGACAGTAGACAGCGGTGTCGGCTCGAAATCCATACATGACAGCGGTGTCGTCTGGAGATTCAGCTTAAGATTCATATACCGTGACAGCGAGAGCACGTAAATGACACACAGATGGTGATGGTCACGAAATGATCGCGCTCACCCATGTGGTAAAGGTAGTTCCATGCATGGCACTAGCCTACATTCGTCCTAACGTGTTGCTTTTATGAACACACGGATGCCAGGTGGTAAAAACGGTCGTCCTCCTACAAATCGCACTAGCCTACATTCGTCTTAGCGTGTTGCTTTTAGGAACACACGGATGCTAGGTGGTAAAAACGGTCGTACTCCTACAAATCGCACTAGCCTACATTCGTCCTAGCGTGTTGCTTTTAGAAACACACAGATGGTAAGAGCTACAGAATAATCGCGCTCACCCAGGTGGTAAAGATAGTCGTACTCGTACAGATAGCACTAACCCACAGTTGTCCTAGCGGATTATTTGTAGGAACGTGGATAATGCGAGAGTAATAAACACGACAATTAACGTCTTTAGAACAATATCTATAAAGTTTGTGGTTTTTACTATAGCTATAAGGTTGCACATTATCTTCTCGTGTTTGCTATAACAGCAGCCTCACAGCTCCGTAGAGTAAAGTAGACTCTGCTCTTAGTAAATGATGTTGTTAGCAATCTCCCATGCCGCAAGAGAGCACGTTTCAGAGTGTAGTTATTGTCAAGATAGATGATAAAAGGCCTTCCTATCGCCCTGTACCTAGGTATCTAGGTACATTGTAGTGAACGCTAGGTGATTGAAGCGCGCTACTATGCGGTCAGTCCGTAACGTTTGGCGATGAACATGATTTTGTGTAGCTAACGCAATGTAGGTAATATAACTAAAGTTTTGAGGTCTGCTTAGCTACAGTACATGTGCTTTTCTCGCAGCAACTTTAGTAATCAGAATGAGAATGTTGAACGTTTGTCAAACAAGTTATTGCGATAAACAAAGCCCGATGTCGCATGAGGTGGTCCTGCGTGCAGGAGGTGCGCAGGTGGGTGGCACTAGCACTATGGCTTACCCACCCTCTGCGCGTTCCTTCCCTCCATCAATCGCTTTCATGCTTCGCTCCGATGAAGATGCCTCCCACAGCGAAGAAGGCTGCCGTAATCGCGAACATGTCGCTACGCTTCGGCACCGGGACACACACAACCATGAGGAGCGCAAGTAGAATACCAAGCACGCCGAGCATGACGATGCGCGTCTTCTCGGATCCGATGCAGCTCAGAATTCCCAAGCATATCGCTAAGAATACTGGTACGCATATCCCGGTAAGTATATTAACGATCGTTTGTATCTTGCCAAGCTCAAGGTACTGCTGAGATGCAACGCCATCCTCAAGGGAACGTTGTCGTAGGACCCGAGCGATCAACTGGGTCACGTACATGTTGACTGATTCGAGGTGCCGAATGACGAAAGCGGTCAACATGTCCAGCTCATCCAGGTCTCCGTCTTTGAAGGAACATGTATCCGCATGCGACGGAACCTGGGTATACATGGCGGACTTCTCCTTGGTTGGCCCAAAAAGACCATTCTCGAACAAAGTTTCTCGGGCAGCGAAATGTCGAGCATAGACGTCGGACTGATGGGGCAAGTTGGCAACACGGGTTGCGAGACAGAGATCCTCGCCTACGTTACCAACAGTCAGCACGATGCTTAGCATAAGGAGTCAGCCGCAACCTACTGTATCGCCGGACCGAGGTTCTTAAATCCTCAATCTTGGACCTCAAGACCGGATAATCGTGCAAATAATAGGCCTGGTGATAGTCCGTGAGTGTGCGAACGGTCCAGGCTGGATTTTCCGCGCCAATCGTCTCAATAAGTTCATCACACTCCCGCCGTTGCTTATCAATCTCCCCCGTTTCGTTGTAAAGTATCCAAGTCCACAGGTCCAGGTGTCTTCGGAACTTAGCAAGCTCGGGTATCTCTACAATTTCGCCGTACAGGACGGAGTAGCGGCGCGGAGCGCCTTGCATTGTAACCGAAGCTCCGTACACGTCTCGATTTAGCGATATCGATTCGGCAGGTTTGATCCTGTTCAAGGCTATCTTGAATCGAGGAATGTCAAGAAAGAGTAGATACCTCGGTAGCGGGGTGGACGATTCGAATGTGGATCACTCGCGTTGCAGGGACCCATGAGTCAGGGAGTTACTCTCCCTATATATACGCTGGCCACTCTGCCTTACGCTTAATACTAACAGGATGACCACAATATGGATTCTGCCTTCTAACACACATTATACACCGTTGCTACTGCTTTCCAGCAATGCATACAAGGGCAAAGATGGTATCGTCATTCCAGTCAACAAGCAGGCATCCGTCCCGGATTGCGTCTCGAGTCTACGTGCGTCGTGACGGTTGTTGTCACCAAATCAAACATGTACACAACATACCAGTCCTTTCACCGGATGCCACGTCATCAGATTCAATATTCTGGATCGGGGCTGAGCGCGCTGGTCAGATTCTCATTGGGTCTTCTGACCGGCGGTGAAGGCTGGGGATCAGGAATCAGAAAATCATCATCGCGACATTGTCGGATAGAACGTCAACTGCCGCCCAACTCCTCTACTAAATGATCTCGGCGGTCGAGCATATCAAAAGATGAAGAAGGCGGACCTCCGCATATTCCAGTGGTAGACAGCAGTATGAAGGTAATGATCTGATATTCCTCTGCGCGCTTCTCCAGCAGATCGAGGGCTGAGTCTCGCGATCCGTTGCGGGCCCGCGGCACATCCTTGGCTCACATCCTTCGACCCCCACTTGATCTGGCACAAGAATAGCGTACCCGAGGTGGACAAATCACCACAAGCTGTGTGCATTAATCATTATTATAGACATAGGCAAAGGCAACAGCTCAAATGTATTGTCAACCTCAAAACCACCAAGGTCAATCATCGTTGACTTTCCGGCTTTGATCTTGCGGGCGCAGCGTAGCCTCCTGCGCGCCACCGCCAGCGACGCCGGCCAGCATAAGTTCCCGGGTAGAAGGTTCGATATCTGCTTCTTCAGCACATCAATATAGGCGAAACATCTGGCGCTACGAAATTGGCCGCATACTCAACGTCGAAAAAAGAGGTGATCGGCTTGATTTCCAGAGTAGAGTAAGCCGCAGACCACGCATCGAAGCGCGTTCACTCAAATACCAGCTCCTGGGAATCACCAGAGAACGAATCAACCAAGCATCAATCAACAAGTGATCCGAAACAAAAGCCCGTTACATGCAAGATGCGAGTGTTCTTCCTAGACTATTAAGTCGGGTTGTCCCTCTTCTAGGGCCAACCTGGGTCAACGGCAGAGCCGCATCAGCTAGCCGAGCAACGTGCATGGGGTACATCAGGCTATTAGGCTATCAGTGTGTACGAAGCGTGGCAAGGCGTCACTCTAGTTCGAAATCGAAAGCACCTGCGTGTGGCACAGAAACCGGTGAGCCTGATCGGCGCGCGCACCATGCTCTGAAATGCATGAAGAACGTAGGGCAACGTATATAGGTAGCCTGCGTTCTCACCGCTTCGACTATGATGTCGTCCTTATTGCTGTTTATTATTGAATGCGGCTCAGATGACTTCGATGCCATAGCCTTGCTCTGCGCTCCAATGCCGTCATATGCTAGATGATCATTGGATGGGATCTCAGTGGCTAGGTGCAGTATTGATGCATGAACTTATCTACCCTGATGCTAGGCGTACACAGCTCTAGACGCACGGTAAGGCTGTTCCAATGGTTCAGCCGCATGTCTTGACTAACCAGTAAGAGAAGGGTGGAAGGCGGGGGTCTTCACTATCAAGCAACTCTAATTCAGAACGCTGTTGAACGCATTGTATACAATTATGAGAACGCAGGTACCGTATTGCTCACCTTTCTTGCTGCCTTACAGTCTCGAATGTTCTTGGAATCAGCAATAGAAATCAGAACCTCACATCTCATTCACTCCAGAAGTCTAATGCTTGTGGCAAGAAGTAACAGTGCTGAATAAACTTGGACTGAGCAATGCTATACAGCTAAGAACATATAGAGAGCAGATGCTAGCTAGTAAAAGAAACTACCGCAACCGTTATATAGTGATACTCTAAGCAATCCAGTACCATATCTTTTGCATAACGTTCTTCGGTACAGGTGCACCGGTGATGTCGTCCTTGCACAACTCGTTCATCTCCCGCACACCCGTTATAACATCGATGTGTTCGACCTTGATCGCAAACGGAGTCCTGAAGTAAATCTTGTGGCCAGCATAAAGTACGATGAAGATCGGGATGGTGATATAAGCAGCAAGGAAGTCGGAAACGGACCAGTTGGCCGGTACAAAGACTTGGAAACCGTTGGTCAGCGTCAGAAGCGACACTACTCCAAGAACGAAGTATGTAAGGTATGGCTGGAAGGGTGTGCGGTAAGGCAGGGATTCGAGCAAGTTGTTGAAGATCATGGCCTTGCGGAAGCGGATATATGTGATCATGACGACGATCCAGGCAATGAATCCAGAGATAGTGGAGATATTGGAGAACCACAAAAAGACCTGGGCGCCAGTGCTGGAGACATTCAGGTATGCGAGGAGTCCGATGGCCCATGTAGCGAGAACAGCTACATATGGCACACCTTTCTTGCTGGTCCTGCCGAAGATCTTAGGCGCTTCTCCGTTGAGAGCCATACCATACAAGACGCGGGATCCGGAGAACAAGAAAGCGTTTCCGGCAGACCATGCTGATGTCAAGACGGCCGCGTTGACGACGTGGTTCAGACCTACGATTCCCGCACGCTGGATCCCAATGACGAAAGGAGAAGCGGAAGCGTTGGAGCTCTTGCTGAGGAGGCGATCATCGTCTGATGGGACAATAACACCGATGATGAAGCTACCCAGACCGTAGAAGATGGCGAGACGGTAAACGAAGCGGCCAGCAGCCTTGGGGATATTCCGGCGTGGGGCAATAGTCTCTCCGGCAGCGAGCGCAATCAATTCAGGCGAAGTGATGAAAGCAAATCCGGCACGGACGAACGCAGTCCAGTAGGCCAGAAATCGCCCTGAGTTCCCTTCCACGATATACGGTTTGAAAGCTCCAGGATTATTCCAGTATCTGAACCCGAGCCGGCCTTGGTCGTTTGGGCTGCCACCTAGCATGATCACAAAGCCGAGAATAACGAGACCGATGATGGTGATAAACTTGATAGAAGCGAACCAAAACTCGGCTTCTCCGAAAACCTCGACTGCGACGATGTTGAGGAACAAGACCACGACCAGGAAGATGGTGATCCAGACAGCATTGTGGACAGGCGTCTCCCAGTACTCGACAAGGATTGCTCCAGCTGTAGCCTCAGCTGCCACTAAAATCGCGTAGGCGTACCAGTAATTCCAACCAGCGGCAAATGCGAGGCTCGGGTCTACGAATCGCTTGATGAAGTAAGGGATGGTGATACCGCGCATGGGGAGGTAAGTGACGATTTCAGCCAAGTTGTTCATGACGTTGTAAACAATAAGCATCATACTGAGGTAGGCCATGAACAACGGAGCAGGACCGACAAGGGCTAGAATAGATCCAGATCCGATGAAGAGACCTGTTCCGATAGCACCACCAAGCGCACTGACAGAATGTTAGCGATTGGTTCAGCGACCCAAGAGAACGCAGACTTACAGAAACTGGATGTGTCGACTCTTCAGTCCACGGTGTGTGTCTCCTCCTCGTCCAGTCTCACCACCAACAGTAGCGGCGCCATGGACAAACGGCTCCTCAAAGCCAACTTGACTCTCGTCGTAGCCATACGGTACAGCCTCAGGCTTCTCGTCGGCCATGTGGTGGTTCGGCATGGTTAACACGAGACAGAAGGAAGGCTTGGTCGGCGGTACCAATCTTGCTTTCGCCCTAGGGGGGTGCCTAGTGGTTATATAGATGGGATGTCAAAGGCGGGTAAAGAATGCGCCGGTCGTGATAGCAGACTTTTCAGCAAATGTGGTGTATGGCCCGGGGCGAGAGGAAGATTATTCCACGTTCGCGGTCCGGACCTACCCAAACGTGGTACGGCTTCGGTGGCCAAGTCCTTATCGAACGTATGGGACGATCGTAGCCCAGACCCTTGTCAAAAAGGGTTCTGGGGAACCAATTATCGTTGCCTAGTGTAAACTACCGGTAGGAAAGGCGGGGAAAAATACCTCGAGCGCTGGGATGGTTGCAGCCCGTTGCTTAACTCGTATGATGACATCCCGTCTGCACGGCGCGCATTCCTTCGGGTTTACTTCCTTGCGCCACGGGCACTGTTCATCTGTTGGATTTGGAGACGCGCCCTGCGCCCTACCTGTGGAGTGATGCGAAAAGGACTGAGCCGACGTAAACCGCGCGTATTATGTGCATGAGGCTCAAACTGGGCGTGTCCAGAGCTCGAACAAGCTTCTGGAAATACGCCGAGAAGCCTTAGCGCTCGAGGTACCCGCCGCTGGTTTGCGAGCTGGGTCTGGGTAGAAATGGAGCTGATCATGGGGCGCATGGAGAATGCACTGACTGACAGTTCACTGCAAAACCTGGGGATGGCGGGGATGGCGGTTCGTGCTTCATCTGGCGGCGCGATTGTCTGGTTTCACCGGACAAGCCGCCGATGATACGAACCAAGACTGTATGCGCCGTATAGCAAAAGACGCAGTAGCTCGACATGTTGGTACTCGCTTAGAAGATTCTGACATTTGACTGCGATGCTATTAGGCCTCCTTCGTTATCATAATGTGCTACTCTTATCTTCAGTATTCGTGCCGTTGGGGATTTCAAACGTAATACTTTCACCCAGGCAGGATCTCAAGAGCTTAGACGTCGCTTGGAGGATACTCACTGCGGGTCTCTTGTGGGTACATCATCCGTAGGGCCATGCAACTATGGCGCGACCCACCGTCCTACCAGACATCAATCTAGCAGCTTTAGCATGTGCCCGGATTCTGGAGTGAAGGAACCCTCTATCGCACTTCGTTTCAAGTACTTTCTTGCCAACCTTCAATAAAAACTGGCTCTCAGCTCTGGTAAACTTCAGTCCGGAAACAGTCCGCGGGCGTCCACCCCAGTCGACACGGCTGGTCCTGCAATCCTGCGCACACCAACATGTGGGTCTCCTGATACCATTCAGTCCACCCGCATGCCCTTTTGAAGGCAGGTAGCAACATACGACAGATACTTGGAGCACACTCATCTCTCTCTTTGAGCACACATGACCCATGACATCGCACGGAGGCGAGTCCCATGCTTGGTCATGTAAGCTTACAACAGCCCAATATCCTTTACAGTCGATCACATCTCAAAACGTAAGTTGAGTCGTTCTCGTGGGCCTGTCGAGTTGGTTGGGTCAAGCTTCGAGGGTGCTTGGAAGGAACAATAACCCCTCACCAAGCTTTCTGCACCTGCCCGCGGCAGGAAGCGAAGGCGCGGAGATGACACCATATGTGCGCGTCGCGAACGTCATACGGCAGACATGTATGCACGCGCTTCGAATCCAAAATCCCCATCGACTCTAGGGACCGACATAAAGCATCAATCGGGAAGTTCGCGATATGATTCCGCAGGTTGTGATCGACAAAGTGCTATCAAAAGCGCGGGAAACTGCGTCACATAGTTGGGAGTACGGCACCGTGTTTGAAGCATTACTCGAGTACAAGGATCCTCAGCACAGCATCTTCCATAACCCGTTTCCACAGGGCGAGATACCGGAATTACAGGTTGAGGATGTAGAAGCGATGCAATATGTGAGACCGTTCATACAGACGAGTAGCACGAGATTGTGTGACGGCAATGGTAAACCATCCGATATTGGACGCGAAAAACGTATGCTAACAACAGCGACTAGGTTCTTCGTCCGATCCAACATCTCTTTGTATTCCCGCCTTGTTGCTCTACAAATCAACAACCTCCCAAGCGCCTGGCAATCCTTACCTCTCCGCTGTAAATCGCCAGCTGCACGACCTGCTCTCCACCACGCCCAGATACAGGAATGGCGCGATATCGCATCGCGATGCGTACCCTTCTTTGTGGGCAGACTTCATCTACATGGTGCCGCCTGCTCTTGCATACCACGGTGTCTTCACCTCAGACATAGGCATGGTGAAAGAGAGTGTACGGCAGTGTCAGCTATACTGGGAGGTGCTGGGTACGTCGAAAGGGTATTGGCGACACATCGCCAATGCCGAGGGCACACACAGCGTAAAGAGCGATGACGGCGCATGGTGTACGAGCAATGCCTGGGCTGCAGCTGGGATGACTAGGGTGCTAGCAACATTGCGCAAATCTCAATATGAACCGGAAACCGCTGATGAGCAGAAGACGCTACTAGATATGACCAAAGGCATTCTTGACGGCGCGATAGAGGCTGATACTGATGCATCCGGCCTGTTGCGCAACTATCTCGATGACGAGACATGGTTTGCAGAGGTTGCTGGGACGGCGTTAATGGCAGCTACGGTCTTCAGGATGGCGGTCCTCGAGCCTGGCACGTTCGGCGAACGGTACGTAGGATGGTCGAAGCGTAAGCTGGAGTCTGTCAGTCGCCATGTAGATGAGGATACTGGTGTTGTGGCGCCTGTCGTCAACTCCTTAAAGGAAGGTCAGCGGACGCCGCTCAACGGCATCAATCCGGAGGGACAAGCTTTTGTAGTGTTGCTATACGCTGCATGGAGAGACTGGAGGACTGTTGCAGATAATGCATCAATCGCGATGACCGGATGACGCGTCGAGGACAAGCGCAGCGCGTGCGGCAGTGGTCGCGTCGTTTGTACCTCGGCAAATCGGACTCCTCACGTCAACCATGACTCTCCGACATGCAATGGAAGCCATATCTTCAATCACGGAGTACGTGACATGAATAAAACTGCACCTCGCAACTAAGAGGTAAAACTGCGCCCGTATTGCGGTGAACCTCATAACACGACATGATGTCCACCAATACCCCCGTGATCATCGGCGTAGGCGACATCAAGAACCGCTCCACCGCCATCGCGGATGCGAAGGAGCCCGCGACATTGATGCTAGAAGCCATCCAGAAAGCCATCAGCGACACCGCATCTCTTTCGAAGACTGACCTGCAGGCAGCAATCGACAGCATCGATGTCGTCAAGACGTGGACTTGGCCGTATCCAGATCTACCCGGGCTTTTGGCAGAAAAACTGGGCGTTGATCAGAGTCTGAAATGGAAGAGATATTCCGAACATGGAGGCGATAAACCAGGAAAGCTCTTCGACGAGGCCGCTAAGAGGATTGCAAAAGGCGAATGCAAAGTCGCGGTTGTAACTGGAGGTGAAGCATTAGCTTCATGTACGTACCGCATGCCTTTCCACCGTCTCCACTCATCACTAATTGTACCAGTATCCGCGTGTGCAGCTGCAAAGAAGCTTCCTCCACCAGGCTGGACAGCTCCTTCCGAAGCCGTAGATTCGGTCTTCACACCAACAGGTCGCGACCTAGGAAATAGTGCGGTTTCCTCTCTCTGGCAAGCCCTTTCCTCTACTGACTCTCGCAAAGACCTCGGTGCTATCCACAAGATTGGTGCGCCAATACATGTCTACCCACTTTACGAGAACGCGTTCCGTGCGCATCGCGGGCAGACGCTGAAGGCAAATCACGAAGAGAGTGCAAAGCTGTATGCTGAATTTGCAGACGTCGCAAAGAATAATGAGTACGCATGGAATCAAGGAACTTCAAGTAGTGAGGAAGACATCAAGACTATTGGGAAGAAGAACAGGATGATATGCTATCCTTGTGGGTTTCTCCTCTTTCCGCATTAGGAACGGACGCTTACATCACACGCGCAGATCCCCTGCTCATGAATGCCTTCAACACGGTTAATCTTGCCTCTGCAGTAATCCTCACATCCACTTCTTTCGCCAAAAGCTTAGGTGTTCCCGAGTCGAAATGGGTCTATCCGCTTGGTGGCGCAGGAACGAAGGACGCCGATGAGTTCTGGAAACGACCAAACTTCTATTCCTCGCCGAGTATATCGCGCTCTATCGATGCGAGTTTGAAGGTTTCTGGTGCTACCACGGAAGAGATGGACATCATTGACATTTACTCCTGCTTTCCCATTGTGCCTAAGATTGCGGCGCAGCATCTAGGAATACCAGTGGTTGGTCGTCAAAAGCCATTGACGATACTTGGTGGCCTGACATCGTTCGGCGGAGCTGGCAATAACTACTCGATGCATGCGCTCACCGAGATGACTCGGCAGATAAGAGACGGTAAAGGGAAAAAGGGACTCGTGCTCTGCAATGGCGGCGTCCTGAGCTATCAGTACGTCGTAATATTGTCGAAAGAGCCTAGAAGAGAAAAGAACTATCCGACAGAGAACCCTCTACCGCCGCAGATTACTGATGTGCCCGCGCCTGAGCTCGTTTTCGACCCAGAGGGCGAGGCTGTTGTTGAAACTTACACCGTAGAGTTCAACCGAGACGGTAGCCCGCTTCGAGGTCACATCATTGGTCGCTTAAAGAACAGCAACAAACGTTTCCTCTCGAACCATGGAGATGAAAGTACTTTGCGACAGATGGCCAGTGGTGCGGTCGAGATTGTGGGTAAGAGCGGATGGGTATGGCCTGATGGTGAGAAGAAGGGGAGGTCGCTGTTTGCATTCGACAAGCCAGCAAGACTGTAGCGACTGATCAAGCGGGCGAATAGAATTATGAGCTAGAACATTTGCTATGAAGCGCTGACAAGTTGAGTGAATGGGGGTAACATTTCTTTGCGAGTACATGTGGCGAATCTAACTAGATGAGCTACGAGCTACCGCGGTTTGGAGTTTGCACAGTCCCCTAACCTACTTATCTACCCGCGTGCAGTCTCTCATCAACAATACACGCAGTCAACTATAGATCTACTTTCTTGATCCTTCAACTCGCTCTGCATTCATCTTCAAGATACTGCGGTGCCATCGGGCAACATCTTCCAGTCATGGCTTCCTCATCCGCAACACTAGACGGCATCACGACTTCCCTATCTGCGATAAAACTAAACCCTACTGTCTCATCTCCTCCGACCCAACCCGCACAATCTTTTTTCGAAAAGCTTCCCCTAGAAGTCCGACAGCAAATCTACCGATACCTCTTCAGCAAACGCGACCCCGATTCGCTCTCGGTCGGTGTCCGCCTTTGCTACCGCCGCACCTTCCAAGCCCTCGAATCATCCGCGCGGCCCATCCTCTGGAGTCTCCTGTTGACAAGCCGCCAAATCTCCCAAGAGGTGCGCACTTACTTCTTCGGCTTCTACTGCTTCAATCTCATACCCGCACATGGGAAATACGGCTACCAGAGTCTCCTCACGACCTTTTCGCTGAAGATTGGGCAAAATAACCTACGTCTTATACGGAAGCTTTCGCTGCCTTTGTACTCTATCCGTTTATTCGACGAAAGAAACGGTATGGTGGAGCAGTCTAGATTATGGTTTGCGTCGAATCTTCTGGCGAAATTCCCGGCGCTTACCCATCTTGACCTTGGCTTGCATGTGCTAGAGTGCCTGCCACGCGATCATTTGATCTTCTCAAAGAAGCTACCAACGGCTGAGGAGGTGAGAGTTATGAAAGAGTGGGAATGGAGTGGTATCGAAACAAACATACCTCTGCGAGAGTGCTTTGAGGAGATGGGTAACGCTATACAGGGGAAGAACGTAGAGATTGGGATACACTGGTGAGTGGGCTATGATTTTTACGGAAAGAGATCAGTAACGTATTTTTACTGACGTGCGATGTAGGTCAGACTTGCTTCATCTGGAATTACTGCGGGAGCATAAATGGCAGACGTTTGTTCGTCTTGAGGCAATCTATAAAGAGAGACTGATGGGAATACTGCAGAAGTGGCTTAAAGCGAAGTCAGTGCAGAGCAAAGGGCCACTTCGAGGCTTTCGAAGGGTTGATGAACAATTTCATACTCATTATGAAATCGTGGATAACTACCATTGAGCCATCAGGGTAAAGAATAAGTTGGCAGATAGTATGGAAGATAGGAAGATTACACGATGAAGCAGTACATCAATCAACCATCTTGAGATCAATTCGATGCCTTTTGTGCCATATGTGCTACGAAACTACCTACTCCTTAGAGTCTTCCATCATAAGTAGCTATGGGTACAGACAACGATTCAACGGATCTCTACAGAGTGTTCAAGTTCGAAGCATAGTTTCCATTTCCACATAGGTGCCTAGGAAAGCGCTCAAAACTTCTGTTACCACTGTGCGTAACAAAGTAGAAAATGCCGCACGCGATGGATGATCGAGAACGCTGACGATGTTCGCGAAATGAAGGTATCGAAGAAGTAAAGTCATCGACATGACGGTACAGATGACTGACAAATCCTGGGAAGCGTACTTGAGCTGACCGGGAAGCACGCACCTCAAGAAGAGATGTCTAGAATTTATTAGCACGAACAAACCGAGGTGCAGGTATCCATACGCTTACCAGAGGCCTTTACTCTTCATCTTCTGCAAAGACGTCTTGTTCTTCTTCACATACATCCTGGTCTTCGATGTATCCGAGATGTTCGTTCTCGGGAATGATACGCGCTCCCATGTGTCGAGCGATTAGCTTCACCAAGAGTTTCTGACCTTGACCGAGAGTAATTCGGGAGATCATGGTCTTCAGAGAAGTGCAGCGAAACAGCTCAGCCGGGGTAGGGAACTGCGCGTCGGTCCAGTAGCTAACACTGTGGAAGTGCTTGAAGCCGAAGGAAACGGTGGTGATCAGTTGCTTCTTCTCCTCCTTGAGCTGACACATGAACCTCTCAAACGCGGCAGCTATGTCTGCCTGGAATACGGTGAGTTCATATGGAAGGTTCTTCGTCTCCATGTTGAGCTGCTTGCACACATAAGTGAGGTTGAACAGTTCAGCCCAGCATTTCCGTGTGCCGCCGCTTGTGTTGTATCGTGAAGCTCGGAGTTCTACGTCAATACAGGCTCCGCTATCCCAGGTCGGACAAGCCTCATAACCCCCGATGACATAGTGGTAGATCTGGTTGCGGATTTCTCCTGGGAGACTGAGAAGAGGAGAGCCGCGATTGTGTAAGTTCCTATAGGTCATCTGATTAGCAGAGCACGAACAGGACATAGCCAGATCATTACTTACGTGGCCGCTTGCTTGCCAATGTTGATCTTGATACGGTACATCCTCTTGGTCTTCGCGACGCGGCCGGTCTTGACTGGTGCGGTTATCTTCAGAGCCATCTTCTTGACCTCGGGGCCCGCCATGATGTGGAGTGGAGCGTAGTAGTTTTGGAGGTCAAGAGCCAGGCAGATTGTATTTGGCTGGCGCATGAAGCACCACGCTAGCGTGTGGTGAGCGATGAGCGATGAGCGATGAGCGATGAAGGATGAAAGGCGACTGGTATTGACGGTGAGTATAAACTAGACTGGCAGGACCGTCGATGTTAGGCCAAAATTTTCAGCACAAATAATATATATGAGTGCCAGAGAGTTTTGAGTGTATCGCTTTCAACGCTACTCAAAATGGCCTTCATGATGCCAACAAGCTTGATGGCACAGATACGCCAGCGGGATTCCTACACACCACACCCGCCCCTCCATCCCATCATCCAATATTCCCCGCCCATCCCCCAAGCCCCGAAAGACAAGCCACCTAGTAAACCCGTCTCGGAGCGTGCGAACGATGCGACTGATCTCTGGAACTCCTATGCGGATGCCCAGAACGCGTAGAGCGCTTGCTTGAACTTCGTCTCGGTCGGGACTTCGATCTCGACTTCGATGAGTGCGATTGTGAGCGTGAACGTGAGTGCGATGACGATTTGCCGCTAAAGCAGGCGAGCAACGCCACTAGGGCGCTTGTGATACAAATGGTTGCGGTTGGATGGGTGCGTTGAGGGTGTTTGGGGAGGTATATTCGTGGAAGGAACGTACAATCTTTGGAGATGATGGTGGATGATATTGATGTCGTGAAAGCCAGATTCATGGGGCGTCGCTTCCTCATATACACCATATGTTATGCAGTGCGGTACCTCACCTTCGACGTCACTTCCTCCCCGCTATGTACTAATGACATGCGCCGAACCACGCTTTCCAAGCATCGAGGCTTTTAGGTCTGAGTTACCAACTCAAATGTTCACATCTAGATCCGCAACACCCGGACCCTGCATGCGTCTGGTTGCTTGGCTGTGCGTGGCGTCCGGACGCTGCTGCCAGCATGATTGGTCGACGGGCCAGCAAAATCTGTGGCGCATGTTCAAAATGACGTTCGCTGTGTATTTTATGAACAGGTTCAACATATGCATAATACGTTTGTAAGTTCGCATATCTTGTAAGAACGTTAAATCTTTACAAACCACTCAGCACACTTTGCACCCCTACAGTCCCAACATCATCCCTCCTAGCAATGAACCCCTTCAGTTCCTGCGCATCCTGTCCACCCGCAGCCCTGAGCCTATCCCTCAGCGCCTCAGGCCCGATGATGAACAACGTACTGACATCCGTCAGCACATCCATAGCACCAGGTTCCAGCTCATCGCCCGTCGGCCATGCTCTCACGAGCTCAACATAGCGGTTCATGTCCTTGGACACACTGAGACCACCGACTTGTGAGATGGTGAACTTGAGCAAGTGGGATAGAACGAGGGATCGCAGACCGCGAGCGAGTTCGGCGAGGAAAAGGGAAAGATTGCGGCCGGAGAGGGCGGCAGAGGCTTGAGAGGCGACGCGGGTTAGGAACGCGGAGACGTCGCGACAAGCTTGTGTTTCGGTTGTGACCATCAGATCGTCTTCTTTGGGTCGGAAGTCGGTCTTCTTTTGTTGGGACAGACATCTGCTCACCCAGTTGAGAGATGCTGTGAGTGTGAGATTGAGGATGTTGGATAGTTTGGATTCAAGGGTCGACGTTGTGCTGTTCGCGGACTTCTCGATGTCGCGACGAATAGTGAGATTGGGTGTGCAGAGGGGGAGGACGATGGTTGTAGTGGTTTGTTGGAGAAGATGTAGAATTGTGGTGATGGCGTGTAGCGACGGGAAGTGAGCGAGATCAGGGGCTGTCTTGGAGTTCTCTTGAGAAACGGCATGGTCTTGTGCACTGTTTTGGTGTTAGTAAGGATGCGCAACTCAAGCAGGTATGACTTACGCGTCTAGTGCCGTCTCCAGATAGATCTCGCCCATCTGCCGTAGCAGTAGGTTCAGTAGTATTTGCACGTCCTTCGGCGTCTCATTACCAGGCGACAGCTCAAGTCCCCGCCCAACACCTTCTGCCAGCCACTTGAGCATACGCTTAGCGACTGGTAGCGATAGCCTGCCATCTTCATCCGTCACCTCGATGTCTTTTTTCTCTTGTTGGTCTTCTTTCAAGCCAGCAATGCGAAGCAGCGTTGCTTTTTGACTGGCGGGCAACTCGGTGCTTTCAAGGCGTTCCATGTACTTGTCACGAGCGGATGCAGCCAACTCCTTGCCTCGCTGGGCCAGCGATCCAAAGTACGAGGTTGGCATCTTGCTGCGTCGCGAGTGGTAGATAGTGAACTTGAGCAATAGCGAAGAGTAAAGCTCCTCCAGGTTCTTCTTTTCGCGCTCGATATACTTCTCTCCAATAAAGTAGGAGGAGAAGAGCTCTTCCAGTTGCTGATCAAGGGTAGCTGCGACCGCCGAAGTAGCAGGCTCCGGATGCTCTGTCAACCCATGTGATTTTAGATCGTCCACCAACTGGGTGATGTAGCTCCTAGATGCCTGCAGTGAGCGCAGGAATGCTAGTGAAGACAGTTCTCCTGCTTTATCGAGCACCATCTCCAATCGACTTTGTATCGACTGCTGGAAGATGCGCTCGAGGAACTTGATGAGCACCTCCTCGTAGTACGGGAATGCTCGTTTGATGATGGCGGACTCATCTTGAACGACAATCTTGACTTCGTCGATCAGAGACTGTAGTGTAGGCTCAACACCCGGTGGTTCCGCATCAGGATCTTGAAGGCGATCCCAGGTCTCCAAATCCGTCGCTAGGTCTTCGCCATTCAGCTGCATGCGGTCGATGAAGAAAGAGTGCTGGTTGACGTATGTTCCAATGACACTAGCTCCGTCGTTGAAGCCCTTGAGCGCAATGGCACAGTCGCGCATGCCAGCGTAGTTTGGACGCGCATAGCATTCCTGAAACTTGCTGAGGAGATCTTGCTCCAGGTTCTCCAAGAACTTCTCGATGACTTCCTTCGTGTTGTGTCTCGACTGGTGCACCGTTCTCCTCTTCATGCCGTTTTGTACCTCTCCGTTGACTCGCTGGCTGCCCTCTGGGTCGAGACGCGTGCTGATGCGCAGCAGTTGGCGTGCAATCTCAGCACATCGTACTATGTCGCCGTTCTTTCGCTGGTCCTCGAGGATCATGAGCTCACCCCGTTCGCTGACTTCTTGCCAGCATTCAATCAGGAATTTTGCGTCCAGGGCTCGCTTCCGCTGGCGATCGAGCTCTTCGAGTCGCTCTCCGATGCGCATGGCCACGTTGCCTCCAGTATCTGACCCCCCTTCATCATTGCCGTTCAGCGAGCTGTCTAGCCTTTGGAACTTATCCATGGCCGTCTCCAGCCTTCTCCCAAGCGATTCGACATTCTGGTTGTGTTGCAGCTCCGCACGGCGCACAGCTGTAGAGAGCTCAGTCTCCTTCTCTTCTAGGTCTTCGGAAAGACTGTTGAGTCGTGTGAGGGCGTGTTCGAAAGTGCGAATGAGCGGCTTGGGATCGAACGTCTGCTGGCCAGCAGCACCTCCGGAGCGTCGTGTCGCAGGTACGGCAATCTGGGAGAGGTCCTCAATGAAGTCTTTGACAAGGAAGTCTTTGCTCTGTGAGAGTCAACAGAGGAAACCAGGCGGAAGCTGTACGGCTGCTTACGGTGAACTTCTCTAGGGTGAACTGCGGCGCGCGTATCGAATTCCTCGACGTCTGGTGGGTGAGTACCGACGAGCCATCGGAGCTGATGCGCTGCATGGTTGCAGAGTTGTGGGCAACTGCGCCTTGGGTGCTGGGTATCACTCGAGTCTACTATCACGGACGTCTATCGTGGCAGCCCAGCGCGCCAATGCCCCCGGTTGCCCTGGAGGTGCTGATTGAGCTGTCGCGGGGCATGAAATTGCCGGGTTTTGCTAACGGATATGCCTCTTTCACTCCCGCATGGTATTAGGCGTGAATATTCCCTGTTGCAATGGATTTGCATGTGGTGATGTAGCGTCTAACATGTCCGAGTCGCGACTGTGGCTTGTCGCACCCGTGGACACCCCACGCCTCGGTACCAGGTCCGCACTCGCAGCAGCTCCAGCCGAACGAACAACGGGTGACCCCATGCACTATGATGCCACCAGTCCAGCCTGGGTAGGCCGTATACAAAGATGCAGAACAATGCGTTCCTTGTCTACAGCCTCACAGTACTTGCGACAGTGTCCGCGTAATGACGCCTCAGCGCATGGCGAAGCAGGCGGAATGCGCGTCTGTACTTGGCTGTGCTCGGCAGGCACGGCGCCACACGTACTTCGTATGCACCAGCCTCACCGGGATATTTCATCATCTTACGTCTGCCAGACATGGCCAGCTAACGCGCGCATTGTTCCTCTCCTTTCTGTCATACGCCAACTACTCGACCCTGTTTCCATAGACGTTGCCTGTCCCGTTCATTTTGTTGTTCAACATCCTCCACACCGCCCGTAATGGCTACCACAGGCCTGACTCCCACGCAAGAGGCCGCTTTTAGACGAAGCAAGCAACTCTCTGTCCAGCAACGCGAAGAACTTCTGAAGCCCTTTCTCCCCTCCGAACCATCCGACAGCGAGACGCAGGCGCAGAAGAAGAAGGCCCTCCGCGACCGCCGCCAACGCGCAGCCCAACAGAACCGCAAGCCACTCGCAGGCCCCATCAAGACCTTCCTCCACCTCGCAATCTACCACGTCGTCGCTCTCTTGTTCAGCATCTTCTTCCGCTTCCGTCGCGCCTACCGACTTGTCAGGGGCAAGGTTGTCTCGCTGCTCAAGTACCATCACCGGACCCCAGAGTTCATCGCCCACGATGTCAAGGACCTAGAGAAGCTGCCCAAGCACCTCAGTGTGATAGTTGAATACCAAGAGGACGACGGAAGTCAGGGCACAGCTGGATTGGAAGGACTCGTGAACGATGTTTGCGAGATAGCAGCATGGGCAGCGAGTGCCGGCATACCCTTTCTGAGCGTCTACGAACGGACGGGTAAGTCTTTCACATTCTGGCCGCAGAACCATGCTGACAAGAGCGAATAGGTGTGCTTAAGAACTACCTCCCCCAGACCCACGCCTCCATCTGGTCAACCCTAGAAGCCTACTTCGGCCCCCATCGCAAGCCTACGCTCTCCCTCCGCGCGCCACACCTATCCTCCTACTCTCCTCCCAACACGCCTCCTCAGAGTGCAGACGATGACCTCAAGGGGGAAGAACGCCAGCATCTTACCGTCCTCCTCCTCTCCGAGCACGACGGCCGCGACACCATCGTCGACCTGACGCGCACACTGGCCGAAATGGCCCAGAAGGGCGATGTTCGACAAGAGCAGATCAATACGGACCTGATTGATGCACAGCTGAACGACCACGTTTCGAGTGAACCGGATCTTCTGATTCTGTTCAGTCCTACGGTGCAACTAAAGGGATACCCACCGTGGCAGCTGAGGTTGACGGAGATCTTGTAAGTTGACATACTTGAACCACTGAGTCTCTACTGACATACAATGCAGCCACCTACCAGACAACAAGGGTGTCAACTATCAAGTCTTCCTGCGAGCCCTGTACAACTTCGCAAAGGTTGAGATGCGCTTAGGAAGGTAACAGCATCGCATTCTTGTCGTATCTCTTACTGTAACAATACCCAATTTGATTACTACTATCCATCGTCTCGTTGGCTTACCAAGTCTTGATACAACATAAACATTGTGAAGTGCAGCATGGCGCCATGTTTGATTAACCAACAAGTGCTTCGTCACCATCACATGTGCATGTCACGGAATGAAGGAGCAGTCTTGGAGGTATCTCGAATGTCATGGTGGTGCTATCTACACCATATCTTCATGCCCGCTGTGACCGTTGTGTACGTCGTAGCCATCGAGAGTAAATGCACCTAACACCTTATTCATTGTAGGTCATCAAGTACATATCCGCCCCACGAAAGAACCCATGCAACCAAAACCCAGTTCGTTTACTTGAGAGGAATGAAACGGGAGGAGTGAGTGGCACCAATACCCGGCCTTCCGTGCTTGACGGGCCTGTATGAAATGGAGAACTCGGCGAGGTAGTGGCCGACCATCTCGGGCTTGATTTCGACCTGGTTGAACTCCTTTCCGGAGTAGACACCGATGACGGAGCCGATCATCTCGGGGACGACAATCATGTCACGGAGGTGGGTCTTGACGAGGTCGGGCTTCTCGTTGGGCTTGGCCTCCTCTGTGTTGTGTTAGCAATGACCCGTCGGCTGGGCAGACAGTGGTGCGTACGCTTGGACTTCCTGAGCTTCTTGATGAGACCCATGGGCTTGCGCTTAAGACCACGGTTGAACCTGCGACGGGCACGGGCGTGGACGAGGTCGCGGAGTTCCTCAGAGCCGAGGTCGAGGAGCCTGCATATCGATCAGAATACCGCCACACTTGTGTATATTTCCAGCGCGTTCGGGGAGTCGCGGGGATCGGAAGACGTACTGGTCGAGGTCAACGCCGCGGTAAGAGAACTTGCGGAACGCCCTCTTGGCCTTAAGGGCTGTTGTGTTCGTTAGCCATGTCCATCACGTTGTGCGTCTACGTATCCAGGGAGAGCGGTGCGGGAGTGTGGGAAGGTCTGGTGCGGAGGGCAAGGGCGTACCAGCTGCGGCCTCGGGATCGTAGTCAGCGTCAGCCATGTTTGTGGTTGTCGAAGTGATGGGAGAACTTCGTTGGGTCGCGAGGGTAGTTGTCGGTCGTCAGTTCTCGATGGGCGATATTGAAATTAGAGCCCTGGAGGTGTAGCTGCCCCGTGCGCTAAGCGAGACCTTTTAGCGCCAGTCCAGACGGGCAGCTGCGATCATGCTATTCACCCAAGAACATCTAAAAGAACATAATTGATGTGAACATGATTGTGACGATGAATTGTCGCTCCAAAAATGTAACAAGCTACTTCGTCCTGCCAAAAAGTTGCAGAATCTTGACAACACCCCCGCTTCACATAAGATGCATACAACGACTTCAAATACCTGATGACGCAGTGAGTTCACACGCGACTATTCTTCTCTAAGTCTAGATGATGATCCGAGGTCACTTCAATACTTCCCCAAGATCACAACATTCACTGTTATGCTCGTTCATGGTAGCTGTGGTATCCCTATACATCTCACTGTCGGTTCGCCAGTCGCGAGATTCGACATGACATGTCGCAAGTAGGTGAGAATGCGCCTTGTACTCCAACTGGGACCTGGTCTAATTGGAGACAACGCAAATTCAGTCAAAGATGGTCATGTTAAACAATCACAGTCACCATGCGGGATTGGGCGGGTATCACACGACACTAGTACACTTGATGAATGTTTGAGGGTGCATGGCTTCATTCCGGGTATCTCAGCAGGCAATTAATCTAGTAATGCCGCAGTGTCCTTCTCCAAATCCCTTGTAGTGCTCGCTCGACACTCCCCAAATCGAACTCGTTGCGCATGATTCTCGTAATGGTCGAGAGATTTGCTGGATCATACATCGTGAAGAGGTGGTTGGCGACGCGCTTAGTCGAAGAGTCCGAAACCCATGTCGTCGTCAGACTCCTCCTTCTCCTCCTCCTTGGCGGCCTCGGGAGCGGCCTCAGCCTCAGCGGCACCGCCAGCGGCAGCAGCACCACCGGAAGCGGCGGCGCCACCGGCACCACCAGAGGGAACGGAAGCAAGCTTCTCGGAACCGGAGGCGATGAGCTCGTTGATGTCCTTGCCCTCGAGCTCGGAGATCAGCTTGTCGAGACGGTCGGAGTCAGCCTCGATACCGACGGACTCAAGGACGGCCTATTGCGTTGTTAGAACGTGGTATAGCGATTTATGTTAGGTTGTCGTCTTACCTTGACATCAGCGGCGGAGGGGGAGGTGTTTCCACCGAGACCGAGAAGGAGGTATGCCGCGAGGTGCTTCATTGTGATTGTTGGAGTGGTTTGTCTGGAACAGGAGTTCAATCGATTTAACCTGCGCTTGTCAGTATTGCGCTGCTAGATGCGATTCCAAAGTGCTGCGTACCGTCGGGGCCGGAGACTGAAGCTACAAGTTCTTCTGTAGGTTGTCGTAGAAAAGAAAAGTTCGAGGTCCGCGAATATTGACTTCGGGTGGGATCTCGCTACCTGGGCTATGCCGCAATGCGACTAGCGCAAAACGCCCGCCTTGTCACGTGTCGTCGGGCTAGGCGCAAAGCCATGTATAAAAGCGACTTGTCTGCGCCGCCGCCGACCGCTCATTCTCTGGCCGCTCCCCTCTTCAATCCACGACCGGTCCCGTGCGCCCATCCTCCTCTCCGCGCGCGTGATCAGTCATCGCCGACTATCGACACCGGCGAATCTCACCCGGAAAGCATGTACAACTTGTCCTCCAATCGATTTGACGACCGGTAGCCTGAGTCAAACGCTTATCAGTTGCCCATCATGAGCGTGAGTCCGGCGACTCCATCCCCGCCAGCAGTCGTATGCTGACTGCATCATCTAGTCTCTCAAAGACATCATGTCTATAATCGACCGTACGGGCGCGAAGACGCAGGCGACGGTTTCGAAGCAAGGCCCGCCCGCCGGAGCCCCTAGGCCAGCGCCGCGACCGATCGGAGGGGCAAGTAGCGCCTCGCAAACCCCCCAGCTGAAGCGCAAGGCCTCAGGTCCAGTCGAGAGTACACAGGTCAAGATACAGCGGAAAGAGGCTGTCGGGGGATCAGCGCAGGCAAATGGTGCCGTGCGCGCCACCTCATCGCCTGCCACGTCGAAACCGGCCCCGTCCGCATCTACCACCGCCGTCCCGTATCGTGGCACTGCTGCACCCGCATCCTCAAAGCCGGCGAATCCCCCCGTGCGAAAACCTCTACAGTCGTCAAACGCACCCGCTGCCAAACCGAAGGCTGCAGCTCCTGCACCCAAGCCTGCGCCCGCCGCCACCACCTCAACACCCGCCTCGTCTGCCGCACCCAAGAAAGGATATCTCGCTATGCTTCAGAAGGCGAAAGAGAAGGACTCAACGAAGCCTATCGCGCCACCAATCAAGCATGAACCAACAAAGATCCTTACACGAAAAGAACGCTTGGCACTCAAGGCAGAAGCAAGTGCCGGCGCAAAGGGCAAGAAGCCCGTCGCTGGATTACCCTCAAGAACCACAGACCCGAAAGCAGATCCATCGAAAGACAAGAAGAAGGCTGTCGAAGTTGGTTATCAAGGCACAGCACGACCTGCCAAGAAGCCTGTTGAGGTTGGCTACAAGGGAACCGCCCGTCCAACAAGCGCACCTGCAACGTCTAGTCGAAACGGCACACCAGCCGTCAAGGCCAAACCGAACCCAGGCAAAGGACGATATGACGGTTACGCAGACTGGGACGAGCTTAGTGAGATGGAGGACGAAGAAGAAGACTATGCCTCTGACGCTTCTTCTGATATGGAGGGCGGTATCTGGGACGTAGAAGAAGAAGAACAGATAGCACTCAAGGTTGCCAAGAAGGAAGACGCGGAAGCACTAGCGGAGGAGAATCGGTTGAAGCGTGAGAAAGAAGAACGTAAGAAGAAGTTGATGGCTATGGCTGCCAAGGCGAAGAAGAGGTTTTGAGGTTCTTCGGCGTTACGGTTTACGATCACACGGCATGGGGGCGTTTCATCTGCATTCTCGCGGTTGCATAGCCATGGAGCGGTTTCTTCTTTTTTCATGGCGCATTTACGGTTGTTGCATACCCGGAAGAACGATCATGGCTTCACAGTAAGCATCTCGCTGCAAGAGATTACAATGCAAGTAGTGTATATTTATAACGCCGTCGGCAATAATACCTTCAGGCTCCAACATATCACGGTACCCCTCTACTCCGTTCCAACCTTACCGCATAGATTGTGGTCTGTCTGTGTTGTCCCTTCCAAACCATCGAAATCACCTTTGCCGAGGATCAACGTGTCCAGATGTTACCATGGCCACGCACCGCTCTGCGATTGCATTGAAGCGAATGTTCAGCCAGCGCGTTCACAAACGCCCCTTTGTCACAACCGAGCACATGGAACTGCCAAACAGCCCAGCATGTATCCTCACCATCGAACACTCATGTTCTGATCTCCTGTCCAGCATCTCCGCCACCTAACTCCCAGTATCAGAACCACGACGATGCCATCCTTCCAGCGACTCAAACACCCATTCCGACGCCCAACTCATTATTACACGATCCATGAGCCGTCCCCTACACCGAGGCAGCTAGAGACACAACGCGAGAAGGAGAGGCAAAGGGCTCTCGACAAAATCGAGAATGACCTCGATGACGGACGTATTGGGCCCAGAAGTGGTGACTCGCCTGACGAACTTCCGGTGATCATCGATAGGGGTCCGTACCGAGGCCATATATACCCACGAGAGCAGCTCTTCTTCAACAGCATCATGCTAGCTTCGGACGTTGAACCAATATACGCTGGTCCACCAGGTGGAGAGCTTCGGCAGGAGGTGCATAGGACTCCGATCCGGCGTCCAAAACCACAAGCAGAGCAGAAGCTCCCTCCAAGGCCCGTACCAAGTGAGTATTTGACGGCTTCACAGAATAGGGAGAACTTAAGGAGGTGGGAAGAGAAGAACAACAAGTCTGCTGCGGCTGGGCAAACACAGCACCCGAGGCCTGTGCCAAGTGAGTATTTGACTGCCACACAAAACGCGGAAAATCTCAGGCGATGGGAAGAGCGGAGCGGCAGGACTCCTACCGTTCGGCGAACACAGATTCCGGAGCGGCGACCTTCTCCTCCAGAACAACCATCTCCACCGAGGGCGCCGATCACGCCAGGCACTATTGAGTGGGATGGCTTCATGGACTTCCCTTCAGACAGTCGTCAGTTCCGTGAGCCTGGTGTACAGGCTACTGCGAATGAGTCGAGCGCATCACACAGCCTACCGACAATGACAATTCCCGCAGCCCGACTGCACCCAACAGCGCCGCCTCGGACTACTGTTGATTCGGCATTGCAGACGAATCCATCTCCCCCATCAGCTTCAGCAAACACTGTACATGTGCAAGTTCAAGCGGAACCCGCTACAGAACTGCCAAATGGTGTCTCGGACCGGACCGAGCAGTCTGAATTACTGACATGGCTTACAGCGCTTAACGAAATCATTCGTAATGATGTTGTTGATCCGGCCACGAGAGCAAGGATTCAAGAAAGAGTGCGTCAAAACTCAGCCACTGGGTATGAAGATGCTCACCCCATCACGGTGATAGACGCCGGTCTTGTTCCAAATTTCAGCTACCCAATTGCTGGAAGTACATTCCATGATCGCCTTCAGACCGAGCCGACGCCTCCATCACAGTCACTAGAGAATATTAGGGGGAGTGAAGAGCAGCAGCAGCCGCCGCTGACAAATGGTGTTAGTTCTGGACATCACAGTGATTCAAGTTCAAGCCGCACTCTCTATCGCTCTCCCACACCCGATAACTGGCCATTACGAGGAGGCAGTGACGAGAGCCCAGCTCTACTAACGAACGGTGTACATCCAGGTTACTATCCCCCATCAAGCTCTAGCGGGGACTCCAGTAATGCTGCCCTCCACTACCCACCTGCGCTTCCCGACAACGTGCCAGAGCATGTCTTCAACCTCCTCTGTTCGCTACTAACACCTTCCGAGCTCGCCCTCCACTACGACGTTGTCCAGGACTCGGCACCTCCGCATCTACCACCATTCCCTGCACTTGTGCCGCCCAGTAATGCCGCGTCAGATATTCCAATAGTAGTTCGTCTTGTCCAAAGATTACATGTTGCTGTCTACGGTCTCCAAGATCGCGTCTGGGGCCTGGAAGAAGATCTCATTCCGCAGCTCAGCACGCAGCTCGAAGAGAACCACCTCCAGATTAGAGAACTCGATCGAGAAAATGGCAGCTTACAAGATGAGATCACCGAGCTAAAGCGCATAGCAGATTTCAGCACCAAAGTTCTGACTGGATGCTGGGAGCGCGAATGGGAGGTTTGGCGCACACTCCTCGACATTCAGAAAAGGCGTGAGACGTACCGCAGTCCTTTATCACGTATCTTCTCGCGCACCCCAACTCCCAGTGCTAAAGACGACGGGCTTTTAGACTTTTGTAAGCCAGAAGGCTATGTCGCCCCGCCTCTGCCGACTGGAAAAGTAACGCAGGGCTCTCTTAAGAAGAAGGAACTCGATGCTCTTCTGCTGATGGCAAAACAGAATGTTACTATCCTCATTGAGGATTTGGGGGAGTTGAAGGCGTTGGCGGAGGCGTATGACAGGAGAAATGAGGCAGAGGAGGAGGTGCGGCCTGTCGAAGGGTCGCGGAGGGATGTTTGATAATATTCCTGGATTTGTAGTACAAACGTAGTGCCTTATTGTTTTGATTTCATGTAATTGCAAGTGTTGGCTGCTGAGCGTGAGCGCCCAAGTGAAGTGGCTAGGGTCCTCCCCGCCTTCGCGCTGAACTTCAGCTCTGACGCGCCTACCATCCTAGACTCCTACACTGCGCGCACTCACACTCATCGACCACATGCATTCATTGCTAACCAAATGCCATGGCTGAGGTCGTTGGTACAGTTGCATCTGTCGCTCAGTTTGTCCAACTGAGTGGTGCCCTACTCGCTGGCGGCTACAACTTCCTATCCAAGGTCGCGCGAGCGCTCAGCGAGATCCGGAGTCTCCTGACGGAAACCGCGGCCGTCAACAGCCTTCTCGCGCAATTACAGCAAATCGCAGATACGTCGCCCAAAGCAGCTGCCGACGATGCGCTACAAGCTCTTGAACGGGTTGGTGTCTTTCAAGAATGCCAGTCCACACTCAAGTCGATCGAGCGGGCGCTGGCGAAATGCGAGCAGGTCAATGGTCAAGATGCGAAGAATTTCGGGAGGAAATTGATGTGGCCGTTCAAAGAGAAAGAGACCAAAGACGCCTTGCAGAGACTTCATCACATGCGCGGGTTACTTGCGAATGCTATCGAGGCCAACTCTGCGTGAGTATGCATGCTTCCTAATGAGTGTCTAGCCTAAACGGTCCACAGATCCGCGATTCGGCGCATCGAAACGGAACAAGGCCTAATCTCAGACGAGGTGAAGAATATGTCTGAGCAGCTTCGTACGCAGGTGAGCCGTGAGGAAGTACAGAAGGTAATAACCTGGGTCTGTCCAACGCCTTCCGATGGTGCGCATGTCAGTCTTGCAAGTGCTTTGAGTCGCCATATTTCTGGGACTGGGGAATGGCTCTTATGCTCCAAGGAATTTCAAAATTGGAAAGACTCAGATTCTGGCACCATGTGGATTACTGGTCTTCCTGGAGCGGGCAAGACGCTTCTTTGTGCTTCTATTATTCGACACGTTCAACGACTTTGTACGGATACCACCGCGGTCGTGTACTTTTTCTGCGATCATCGTGATCGTGCGAAAATGACGCATGAAAACTTCGCTGCAAGCGTCGTGAGGCAGATGATGGAAGCTTCACCATTGTCTCTCGAACCAGGCAGAGCGCTGTACAATGAGAAATCTAAGGAAGGCAGTCGCCCTTGTCACAAAGATGAGTACATACCACTGATCTGTTCGGCAACGGCATGCCTGAAAGAGGTATTCGTCATCGTGGACGCGCTCGACGAGTCCACTGAAGGTGATGCTATAGCTCAAAGTCTCACGACGATACACAACTTCGGAAAGAGCGCAGGCTACCGTATCAGAATCCTCCTGACGAGCCGATTCGATGCCCGAACTCAAGGGCGATATCCAAATCTTGGCATGACACACATCGTTCTTGCAGAGAATATGCGTCCTGACACCCAGCACTACATCAAAGAAGAACTTCAATTGCGCTTGGCCAAAGGTGTTTTGAAGGTGAGAAACAACAGTATTATGCCTGTCATACAACGGCATATATCCCTCTGCGCGGGCACGTAAGTCACCACTTCCTCTGGAGCTATGTGGGCTGCAGGCAATTTCAAGAGGCATGATTTATGTTCGAGAAAGACAGCTGACCGAGTTCAGAATGTTACAGGCACGGTTGCAGATCGACTACATCTGTGCAGCGAAGTCGGATAAGGAAATCAAGCACATGTTACAGGGATTACCGAATGGGCTTGGATACACGTACCAAATACTTCTACACAACATCGCGACACGATACCCAACGAAGATTCAAGAGGTACAGAAACTATTCCGGTGTCTTGTTGCTGCTGCTTCACCCATGACTGCTCGCCAGCTAGCAGAGGTCTTGGCCATAGAACCCGAGGAACATGATCTGGACCATGACGCTGTAGCTACGGATCCGTTCGATATCCTGGAACCTATATCTGCTCTTGTACGCATCGAAGACATGGACGGACTAATCAGCGTAGTGAAACTCTGTCATTACTCATTCCAAGAGTATCTCAGCTCTGATGAGATCCGACAAAGTCCAGTTAACAAGTTCTACGTCGGCAAGAACGAGGCGCATGCTTGGATGGCGGGATTATGTCTACGATACCTAACTTTCGATGCGTTCAGTAAGCCATTGGAGGAAAGTCTGGATCCGGACGTTGATGAGATATACGTGTTTCGCGTATATGCTGCATTCAACTGGTACATGCATGCGAGGCATGCAGGAGACTACTGCCAGTGGTCAGCAAGAATCACCGGCATCCCTTTCGGATATTCGTTCTTCAATTCTGTGGAGGGGCCACCTTGCTACAAAAGATGGCAGGATTTGCTTTCGATCACCTACACCGACACCGACTTCCTTGATTATTCCCCTATCTGCTTATGCATTTGGCTTGGGTTGAACGACACTGCAAAGAATCTGATCCAACAATTACCTAGCCTGGATTATACCTTCGAAAACGGTCTGACATGCCTAGCTGTAGCGGCCAAAAAGAACAACCGTTACATAGCAAATTATTTGCTAGAACATGGTGCGAACGCTGAGCAGCCAAGTTCCGAACCGGATTCACAAGAGCTATGACTCCGATACATTTCGCGGCCGAGTATGGTGCGTCCGAGGTGTTCGAGATGCTGCTGGCGCATGGGGCAAATCCACATGTACCTTCGACATCCGGAGCCACTCCATTCTACCGAGCTTGTCGTGGTGGAGATCTGGATATAGTGCGAAAACTCAAGGAGTACGGTTGCGACATCAACGTGAAAACTTGGGACAACTGGACACCAACTATCGAGGCAATTGCGCATGACCATGAAGACGTGCTGGATCTTCTGATCGAGTGGGGCGCTGATCTTTTTACTGTCACGGACAATGGCATAACGCCGGCGGCGTTTGCAAGATATCTCTGTCAAGGGTCAATGGCAGTAAAGATCGAGCGTGCGACCTCTGAATTGAAGCAGAGTCTTCCCGGCAATGAGCCTGCAATCTAGAGCAAGATATGTGTGAAGGCAACCAACAGCCTACGCAGTATGAGTGGAGACGTACATCGATGAACGAAATTACAGTATGGGTTCAGCAAGAGCCTTTGCTGGTGCCACGTACGCTGGTGATCGTGCAAGTCCAGACGGACGCGTTGGTTGCACAAATGAAGACAAATGGAAGCGAACCATACCGCGTAATCGCAGTCACGTGGAACCTACTTACTTTCTGGAGGTATCTCTCTAGCACATACATTAATCAATTGTGGGTTAGGCCGTGGCTGGAAGCGTGGCTGAGGTGGCTGTGCTGTGTAGGTCCAGTTCGCAACCCATGTCGCTTGCGTGCTCGATGTCCCACCCCTCGGTCATCCCGTGTCCGATCGCACTTGCTCTATTCGCCCACGCCCACTCGATAGCTACCCCTCCAACTCTCCAGACGTGTCCGAACAAAGTGTAACCACGATCAGCCACCGCATTAATCCCGCAATTTCAGCTTCGGTGCATCCACGGTGATACTACGAGAGTTGGTGAGGTCGTTCTATGCTGTAACAGGCCACATTAGACTCTCTCATCCTTCCTGGACCATTTCTTTGCGGTGGCTTTGCGGTGCCACGATGAAGACTCAATCACTCACCATGACAGTTTTGGTGATGAGCTGCCGCTGAACCAAGGCACATCCGGACTTTGCCGAGATCTAGAGCGGTCCGAATGTACGGCTCAGCTTCACAGGGGTCACAGCGATAGTAATACAGCATAGGCGGGATGAACAACACCAAACCTGCTTTCGGCATTGCGGGGTGATAGAGGGGTACGCTGCCCTCGAGAGGACGCATATAAAGAGGAAGAGGCCTGCCACGACAGTCAGTGTTCAACAATCAGCAAGTAACTTCTCTACCAAATATTCCAACCCTTCAGAGTCTTTCACTCAAACACATCTCTATCAACATGTCTTATAACGACAACGACCGCGAGGATCGTACTTCAGGCTACGGTAGCAGCAACCGTGAGGATAACGAGTACGGCTCCAAGTCTTCTGGATATGGAAACGACCAGGACTCGTCCTACGACAACAAGAAGTCTAGCTACGGGTCGAATGACAACGACAGCACTTCGTACGGTTCCTCCAACCGTAAGAGTGATGACGATGATACCTACGGGTCCGAGAAGAAGTCTAGCTACGGCTCCTCAGACCGCAACGACGACTCTTATGGGTCTAGCAACAAGTCCTCCGGATACGGCTCCTCGAACCGCAACGACAACGACGAGGGCTCCTATGGTAGCAACAAGCAGTCTAGCTATGGCTCCTCCGACCGTAAGGACAGTGACGACACTTACGGTTCCGAGAACAAATCATCGAGCTATGGCTCATCGAACCGTAACGACAACGATGAAGACTCGTACGGCAGCAACAAGAAGTCCAGCTACGGTTCTTCGGACCGCAACGACAACGACAACAACGATTCCTCGTACAGCAGCAACAAGCAGTCCAGCTACGGTTCTTCGGACCGTACCGATGACAACGACTCGTATGGTAGCAAGAACCAGTCGAGCTACGGCTCATCGAACCGCAAGGACGATGATGACTCGTACGGCTCGTCCAACCGCAAGACGGACAGCGACAGCTACGGCTCCAGCAACAAGTCCTCCGGTGGCTTTGGAGCTTCTGAAGAAACTTCCTATGGCTCCGGCAACACTTCTTCTGGGTATGGAGGCTCTTCGGGCCGTGACGACAATGACTCGTACGGAAGCTCTGGACGCAAGAACGAAGACAGCTACGGCTCCAACGACCGCGAGAGCTCGGGATATGGTAGCTCAAACAGGCGAAGCGATGACTACTAAGGGTTGGTGTAATACCATGCTGGTCGGTAGATTCGGTATGGCCGCTCATGGCTGCAAATCGTCGCTTGGCTCCCGTAGTGCAGTTTTTGCGCCGAGGCTACTATAGTATGTAGAAGTGCAAACCAATTGTACCCTAAAGACCCTGACCGCCAATCGATGAATCGCGTGACGTGACATAACATGCGAGCCCAGACAGCGCAGATGTTACTGTAACACTAGCGCGAATCATGACAGAGAAGCTTGCCGCGTGGTGTACGTCACTAGCGGGGCAATCTCATGCTTGGAGGGGCCCAGAGCTATAGCTGCCAGTCTGTCACTTGAAGCCTACATCCCCTTAAACACACATCTACGCATACACATTTTGTCAACACTCAACCCATTCACTCTTCTACTCACCACAAATTGTAAGTTTTCCACTCTCATAGGCATTGATCAGCTGCGAGCTTGGATGCTCGCCTCGGTCTAATGAAGCTTCGCTGCTCCTAGGCATCGGAGCAAGCTTCTGGTGAAGCGTTCTGAACGTTCGTCAGACTGGCAAGCATCGACGCTACGCTTCATAGTTACATCGGCACTTCCAGAGTAGTGCAGCTTGGCGCATTGGTTGCTAACACATATCCAGACTCTCGACCCTACAAAATGTCCTACAACGACGACCGCCGCGAGTACGGCCAGGAGTCTGGCTACGGTGGCCGGGGGGACGACCGCCGCGGAAACGAACAGGGCGGATACGGCGGTGGCGGTGACCGCCGCGAAGAATACGGCCGTCCCCAGGAGGGAGGCTTCGGAGGACCTGCTCTTGGCGACGAAGAGAGGAGGGGTGGCGGTGGAGGTGGAGGTGGCTATGGCTCCTCCGGTGGCTACGGTGGGGGTGGTGAGCGCAGAGAAGAACATGGAAGACCACAGGAAGGCGGCTACGGTGGCCCTGCGCTAGGTGATGACAGACGCGAAGACCACGGTGGACGACGACAAGAGGGTGGAGGAGGATATGGCGGTGACCGCCCCAGTGGAGGTTACTCGGGTGGCGGAGGATATGGACACGAAAGCCGCCAGGAGTCACGTCCAAGCGGTGGCTACTCAGGCGGCGGCGACAACTACAATGACCGTCCGTCTGGAGGCAGCAGCTACAACGATCGTCCATCCGGAGGCAGCAATTACAACGACCGCCCATCCGGAGGTGATAGCTACAATGACCGCCCATCAGGTGGCAGCTATGGAGGAGGTAACTCGGGAGGCTACGGCGGATCCGGTCACCATGAGGGCGAACAATCTTCTGGCACATCCTACGGCGGTGGCGGCGGCTACGGCGGCAGCTCAGATGATTTTTCTGGTGCAGCCCAGCACGCATCGAGCGAGTCTGGTAACAGCGGCGACAACGACCTCTTCAGCAATGTCCTTGGCATGCTGTCCGGCAAGAAGGACAAGCTCAAGGATGAGGATGTTGACGAGGACGACGCTGTTAAGCAGCACGAGAAGTTCTACGGTAGCGGTGGCGGTAGCGAGCAAGCCAGCTCAAACAACGTCGGAGCTGCTGCTGCTATGCAAGCCATGAAGATGTTCAACAACAGCAGCAACGAGGATGCCAAGGGCGGACAGAACAAGTTCATCGGCATGGCCATGGGACAGGCGGCCCAGCTTTTCGATAAGCAGCAGAGCGAGGGCAAGACCGTAAGTCACAAGCTCAACATACCTGGTATCGTTACTGACACGCGTAGGACCCGAGTGCTACTAAGCAGGATGCCATTGCGCAGGCTGCACAGATGGCTCTCAAGTTCTACTTGAAGTCGCAGATGGGCGGAGGCAGTGCTGGTAGCGGCGGTAACTCTGGTGGCGGTCTTGGGAGTGTATTAAACATGGCATCAAAGTTTATGAGTAAGTAGAGCCGATTTGCAGAACAGCCCAAGAGGTCAAGACGGTAACATAAGCCGACGAATTCATCCTGACTTGGCATCACGATGCATGCATCCACCGACCCACAAGAACCTGCTTTATGTAAGTGGAGATATAATGCCGCGCTAACCATCAGTAATTTTCCGTAAAACCTGGCAAGCGATAAGCGAGAGTGAAAGACTGTGGCGGTGGTGTACGAATCATCCTTCAAGCCCCGCTCGACGCGGCAGCCGCATTTCATTTTGTGGCGCACACGGCACAGTTGTCCGTATCATCAACGCGTGCCGTTAGCACGCCTGACTTCAGCCTGCTGTTTACTTTGCGTCACAACAAAGCCGTCGTCAGCCTACGAACACCGTCTGCAAGTACCCAGCCGCAGAGCCAGAACCGGTGAATGGGCAGCATAATCATACGTGTAATAGATGGTTTGTAGGCTGCTATACTCTGGGCCCTTAACATGCCGCGGCCCCACACCCTGCAGCTGTCCAGCCAAAAGCTACAAGCTGCATCGAAGAGGATCACATACCCCATGACCTGCGCCTAAGAGAGACGTGTTAGGCCCAATGCGCGTGGCTTGCTCAGCTTATCCGGGCCAAGTGTAAGCAATCGACAGACCGGATTGAGGAGATGAGCTGGGAAGCCAACAGCCGCACCCTGGCCGGGGTACATGACGGCTGGCCGCCTTTTTTGTGCAGGTGCCTTTTGTTCTCAGCCTGCTTGTCCTCTTTCTTTATGCTCTGAATCCTTTACTACTATATCCTGTCGCTGCCTGCTGTCGCTTTCGTCTCGTTCTGCTCCAGTCAGTCGTTAAGTGTGTGCCGTCACGATGCGCGGAGTTCATTCAGTCGTTACTGAGGCTAGCCTTGCGCTGTTGCAGCT